GTCTTCTAATTGGCTTTTCCAATGGATGAAATGTCCGAAATATCGCCCTGAATAGCAAAGATTGTAACAGATAAGTTAGCAAATGCATACCTGCCAATCTTTGGGTGCAGGAGAAGGTGACACTAAGGACTATTAGTATAGTATCTTTAGACAGGAAAGTATTAATATAGCCTAAGATATAGTGAAAAAACGGTGGATCATCCATGACTTGTACTTCCACAAGCCCAATTCAGCCACGATGGGCTGCGTGATATAACGGATGGCCACCAAGCCCAAGCTAGCAACAAAGCCTGAAACAACTTATTATAAAACTTCGATGGATGCTTGTTGCACCGTCCAAGAATTTGCCAGTTTTGAAAGGGAAAAAAGGAACAAGTCGGTGCACTCATTGCACGTGTCTAGAAACTGGAGCCGAGCTGATCCGATCCGCGGGTTGAAAATGTGGCCGTGTGGCTTGCAAAAAGGGGTGCGGCCTCGTGACGATGCCAATGTTGCAAGTCCGTAAAGGAAGAGAAAATGTGAAAACGCAGTCTCAGCAGAAGCCAAGCCGTCCTAACATCGCACGCTTATAAATTGAGACGGATTGGACGTTTCTCACTCTCAGGTAGATACGCCTGAGTGATTGACGTCGATTGTCTGCATGATACAATTAGAATGCAAGAATTATTGCAACCAATACTACTTCGTCAACTGAAATGGTAAATACATGTTTGCCCCATCGACAATCCTGTCTTGACTGTGATTAGAGAGATACCCGGCCCTGTGATCTACCGGAGCCCGAGGCAGTGGCGGAGTGTCAGCATGTAGCCACATGACAAGTTTCACCCGCTTTCGAATCGCCAAGTGAGTGCTGATGTGACCCGGGCAAGGCCGAAACTTCAGCCAAACCCGGATGAGAAAACCCTCGTTAATGTCTTTTTATTGTGTGAAATGTCATCTACCAATCTCCACACCACCCTAGGCGGCCTAGAGGAGCCTGAGTTGCCATTCCAGATCCACAGATAACCTCTAAACATGCCTGCACCGAATGATTATTTCTTCATTGCAGCTTTCGCCCTAGTTACGTTCCGACTAGCCTCTACAACGGACTTTCTTGTGAGGTTTTTCTGCTCTCCGATTGGACCCAAACACCCTGTCGTAGGAGTGATTGACGTACCAGTCTTCTTGGGTTGGCCTACCTGCAGGGTCGTTTACGCCCTCCAATGACATGCATACATCAAGACCTTCATGAGTGCAGAGGAGCCCTGCAGCACAGCCAGCACAGTATGGCGTAAATAAATTTTGGTTTTGTGGCAGTCTTAGGGCATTCCCTACTCATTATCCTGAAAGAATGTATTCCATACGGTAACACTTATGTGATTGCTTGCAGAGAAAATAAAACATATGTCTCCCATTCTTCCTAAACTTTGTCTGGTTTTGGTAGGAAAACATTTCGCATCAGGCCCTCCTGGAAAATGCAGAATTATTTTTTGTAAGAGAATCTAGAGCGAAACTTATTTATTTTGCTGCAAAAACGAGATAAGCCATTTCGAAGCTTGCTCACTCTGGCATTTGGCCAGCGAGCACTGAGCACACATCCTTGCATACGCTCTTGGTTTTTGAGATTCACTGTTAACTTCAAAGGTTTACTTGAAACATCTTTTTGTGTAGTTTCGCA